TTTAATTGTAGTGCAGATATTCGGGCTCAGACTGGGCTGCAGCCCCTGCTATGGGACCCTCCCACCTTGCAGAGTCCTAGCAGCCCGAGCCTGAACATCTGGATCACAATTAAACAATCCTACAGCCAGAGCCTTGTGATCCCGCATGGGCCAGCCATGTGTTTTTAATTGTAATGTAGACCTGAGACTCCATGCTGCAGGTTTTTCATCTCAGTATAGATGTACACTCTGTGTCTGTCTTACCTATCTGTATGGGCTAATAACTTGCTTAGTTTCCACTGGTTTTGAGGAATTAACTGTTTGAAATCTGATGAGAGGTGCTAAAGAAGATTCTAATTAAATAGATCTGTCACAAAATATTAATCCAGAAATATTCACATGCACAACAAAGAAGCATGGATGTGTAAATAGAACAACTCCTTCTTGTGATTATGTTCTCTTTTCTAAGGAGTTCCTGTAACAGTGTTATCCCTGCTAGCTAGAACCAGAGTTGTGCTTCCTTTACGAAATGTGCCCTGGGATAGTTTCCATGTAACAGTAAAGTTTGTTTCCACGAGCATGTGTGAATTTCTCTCTACACCTCTCTATTTTAATAGACAGTTTTGCTTTAATTAAATAACTCTAAAATGAACCCGGAATTTTGTAAGAGGATATTAAGAAATGTGTTCTTTCTCTTATTACATAGCAGGCCATTTTTCCTTTATTACTGAATGCTCATTTAATTGGGCTGCTTAAATTTAATAATCTGACTTCGTAATATACCAATACCTTGTTGCTTCCTGACTGGGTCTGTGGTCAGGAGAGTATGGGAACTGGTATTTATGAGAATTCTTAGTTTGTCTAGCCCTGGATATCAGATAGACCTTATGGCCTGAAACAGCTGATGACTTTAGATAGCAGTCAGAACACCAAGAGAGAGATGGATACAAAGGGGAAAGTCACTTTTTAAAATTATAAACATGTTTTTCCCAAGTTGTTGGGTGTACTGCATTTTTCTACCCTAATGTATTTGGCTTTGCTTTAGTTTGATATATTTCTTTAAAGATCAAGCATCTGCTCACATCAACCGGTCCTTGTGTGCATCATTCACAAGCAACCAATCTATATGGCAGTTGTTTCTAGTGGCCCTCTTTTTCTCTCCAGCTGGTCCCTCTCTAGAATAATTTCATACCAGTGCAAATTTAATTCACTGCAATGTTGGAAAATGATTATTAGGATATCTCCATGATGATCAATAACACAGTCCCATTATCTAAAGAAAAGGCTGAATATTTACTTTGCTGATGGTACGAGTAACTCTGTGAAGCATTGGAATGTTAAATTCAAAATTATGGACTTTAGGGTCAGAAGGGACCATCATGATCATTTAGTCTGACCTCCTGCACATTGCAGGCCACAGACCCTCACCCACCCACTCCTGTAATAGACCTAGAACCTCTGGCTGAGTTACTGAAATCCTCAAATCACGATTTAAAGATTTCAAGTTACAGAGAATCCACCATTTACTCTAGTTCAAATCTGCAAGTGACCCATGCCCTATGTTTCAGAGGAAGGCAAGTCACCTCTCCAGAGTCTCTGCCAATCTGACCCGGGGGAAAATTGCTTGAGTCTGTTCTCCTATAGTGAAACAGCATGATCTAGGCAGGGGACCCAGAACTAGTTAGCAGACCAATATTCTTTTCCTGGCTCTGCTGCTGACCGGCTGGGAGACCTTGGGCCAGGCACTATATTACTCTGTGCCTCAGTTTCCCCTCCAGTTTCCCCTTGTCTCGTGTATTTTGATTGTAAGCTCTTTGGGGCAGGCATTGTCTCCCACTTTGTGTATGTATAGTGCAGTGGTTCCCAAACTTGTTCCGCTGCTTGTGCAGGGAAAGCCCCTAGTGGGCCGGGCCAGTTTGTTTACCTGCAGCATCTGCAGGTTCGGCCGATTGCGGCTTCCAGTGGCCGCGGTTTGCTGCTCCGGGCCAATGGGGGCCACTGGAAGTGGCAGCCAGTACGTCCCTCAGCCCGCGCCACTTCCAGCATCTCCCATTGGCCAGGAGCAGTGAACTGCTGCCAGTGGGAGCCACGACCGGCTGAACCTGCGGACGCGGCGGGTAAACAAACTGGCCCGGCCTGGCAGGGGCTTTCTCTGCACAAGCGGCGGAACAAGTTTGGGAACCAGTGGTATAGTGCTTAACACAATGGAGTGCTGGTCTCAGTTGGGGCCTCTAGGTGCTGCTGTAATATAAATAATGGATAATTTATTAATCTCATGAGAAGAACCATGTTATTGTTAAATCAGGCGTTACGCTTGTAAAAGAAAGAACAGGCCTTTTAATCCCCAACAGAAACATTTGGGATGGAGAAGAGTCTGTGATATCTATAGCAAGCAGTATTAAAGTCAGTTAATTTAGTTCTGAAAGTAAATCTGCTCCCTTGTACATGAAACACAGTTACATTTGCAGTAAATGTAAGCACAGTACAGTACCCTGTGCTAACTGTTTTAATCAGTTCACCCTACTGTTCAGCCTTAGACAAGACTAGAAGAGGATACATTAATTTAAGAGCCAGGCTCAGTTGGAGAGCAAAAGAAGCGTTCTGTACTGTTATCAGCTCTTGCGACGCTTTGCCTTCCTTGCTCGCTCTAATGATAAATCAGATACTATATTCCATAGGTCCACACTTTGTTATAGATTGTAACAGCACTGATTATGAGTTGAGTCCATAATTTTGTTTCATGTCTTTCAGTCCAACTTTATTGTTTATCTATGAGAGTACCCATGATGTGGTAGGTACTTTCCAAATGCTCCAGAAGGGTGACCTCTGCTCTGAGGAGCACACAATCTAAGGACAAACAGGCAAATAGACAGAGGTTAGGGGAACAAGAATAGGCTGTTCGTATACAAGTTAGGACAGTTTACTGTGAGCAGCGCAGCAGAAGTGGATCTTTGAGAGACTTAATTGTGGACAGTGGTGGGGTCTTACAGATGAGCTCTTGGAAATTGTACCAGGCTCAGGGACTGCATGAAAGAAGGCCTGGAGGCAATTGTGGGAGAAGTGGACCAGGCTGGTAATGCTGGCAGAGTGGAGGGGGTGAGGAGGTAATGTAAAGCTTTACAACAGTGGCTAAGTAGTGAAGGGCAGAGTTATGTAGAGGTTTGAAGGTGGTTAGAGGAATCAACATTTTGGTGCAGTAGCAGATGGAAGGAATCAAAGAGAGGAGTGATTTGATCAAAGTGATGGGCCAGGAAAATGACCTGAATGTTTTGTATAGACTGAAGGTAGCCGGTGTGTGCTCAGAAGGTCAGAGAGGAAGATGTTGACGTAGCCGGGGCAGGCTATAATGAGACATTGAATAGGAGATGTGTCTGTGGGGATAGAAAGAAAAGGACAGCTCTTGGAGATGCCGAGGAGCAAGAAGTGGTGGGATTTGGCTATGGCCTGGATGTGTGGGGCAAGAGAGAGAGGAGTCAATTATAATCCTTAGTGATGGGGAGGATGGTATTGTTGTCACTGTAGTAGAGAAGTCTGGAATTGGGCAGGAAGAAAATAAATTCTGTTTTGGCTATGTTATGTTTTAAGATATTTTTGTGTGTGTGTGGTCAGTTATAAGTAATTGCTCAGCAACAACTGTTGCAGAAGAACTTGGAGGTGGTTTTTTGAATGATCTGTCTTGGCCAGTGATTTGTCACCTTAGGCTCAGAAGGTTGTGGATTTGAGTCCATCACCAGAACTTCAAGTCAGAGCCGGCATTGACACCACAATGCAGTGTCATTGAGACAGACTGCATTGGTACAGCTGCTGTCCCTCAAGTGGGTTGTTGAAATCCTTTCTCACCATCTCTGGTGGTTGCCCAGTTGGAAGTTAAAGAATCCAGGGAACCTTTTGATATTTATTACTGTACAAATCCAAAGCTACATCTTCTAGAGGGTAAAATGTGACATAAGAAGTGTCTAGAAGAAGTTATAACTTATGACTTTTTCTTTCTTCTCTTTCAGATATCTTCTTGAACAGAGAGATGTGGAAATAAATGTTCGGGATAAATGGGACAGTACCCCTTTGTAAGTGTTACAAAGCTCCAGTGTGAGGTATTTGGATGGGGAAGGTGGGAGATTAGATATATGAAATCTCTAGGAATCATGCCTGGTTGGATGCTCTGCTGAATATTTTATTCTCCCTTTTGTGCATTTTGTGCAGCCAGGTGCCCCCTTGTCTAGCCACTGAGGTAGTGGATATAATAATCTGAATGGGACGTGCTATGGAAATGCCAGAAGAATCCCAAGGCAGACAATGGATCACTGCCTCCCCCTCTGGAGTGTGGTGTGGTGACTGATTTAGAGGTGTACAGGAACTCTGCATAACAGTGTGGGACAGGCAGTGAAGAATCCCATGTTCACTATTGAAGTCTGGTGGGAGCTCTGTGCACATAATATGCTGATTCCAAAGTGCCTTGAAACATCTGCAATGTGTTCTGAAGACTGAATATCTTCCAGAAGGCTTGTACAAAAATTAAGCAGTAAAGATTAAGGAGGTGGTGGTGTTTGAGTGCCAAAAGTGTGTGAGGCTCATGATCTCAGTTGGTCCCCAGGCACTCCCCTAATAAACATGAGTCCCTGAAAGTTTACAATCCAAATAGGCAACATATAGACAAAGGAAGGGAGATGGGATGCAATAAGAATGAAGGCGAGTTGAGGCTAAGCATCTGTCTTGTTCCATGACTGTTTAGGACTATTTTTGGATGCTTTTCTGAAAGCAGGATGAAGGTTTACAGGCCTCCTGGCAGAAGTGTGTTTGCAGAGGGATTCCAAGGAGAAGAGCAGAGGCATGGTAGACAGGGCATAGAAGATGATGTAGAGATAAGCATGGGTGAAATAGTGGGAGTGCGAAGTCTAGTGATTATTGGGAATTAGGAGTCAAGACTTAGGAGTTTAATTTCCAGCTCTGTTACTGACTTGCTGTGTGACCTTGGGTAAGTCATTTCCTGTCTCTCTTGCTTTCCTGATGAAAAAGTCCTCTAGAATTCAATAGGGACCAAACCACCAATAGGGTTCTAAAATGACTGTAAGATCTGTAGAATTGAATAGAGACGGAGATCTCTTCAATAGCTTTTTGGATAGTTCAAAACACCTATATAAAGGTTCTCATGTATTTCAGTCTATAGGCCAGTTTTATCTGCCTGTAAAAGAGGGATAATACCTACTACATTGAGGGGTTATAGTCTTAATTGATATTTATAGTGCAGTTTGAGATCTTCAACTGAAAGGTGCAAGAGAAGCATAAAATACTTGGGTTGTGGAAAGATGCCAAAAGGAAAATAAATTTGTCCTAAAAGGGAATTGGGGACACTGGTTTACTGTACATCTGACATATGGGGTTGAGCCTACAGCATTCTAAGTGTGCAACAATGAATGTGTCTGCTGAAGAAGCAGGAGTGTGCTTGGGGCAGCAGGGCATGGAATTGCTGGGTGCACATGAAATAAACTAATGAATCAAGTTTGGCAACCTAGAGGCATTACGAGGGGCTGAGTCAGGGTTTGGACCCTGAGGTCCCCTGGCAGGCCAAGAGGACCTGAGTGTGCTGTGAACAGAAGGCAGAACCTGCCCATCTTCTTTATATGGAGGGGGCACCTTGGGTCATTCCTGAGCAATCTCCTTAAACTCCAGGAGAGGACCATTGTTTAGCCCCAGAAGGAGCCATAAGCACCCCACCACTGATGGAAGGACAGGTTAGTGCAGTGTGGGGTCTGCTGGGGAAAACAGGAGCCTCTTGAGGCATTGTGATACATTCTCAAAGCAACAAAGGTTTCACTTGTTGTAATTCTGACTTCCTTTTTGTGTTAATTAACAGATACTATGCTTGTCTCTGTGGACACGAGGAGCTTGTATCCTATCTTCTAGCCAGCGGTAAGAGAGAGTGTTGAGATTATGCTGTTCTTTTTGAGTATCTGTCCCATTTCTAGCCTTCCATTTATCATTTGCTGCTGATGTGTGTAGAAGTCTGTATCCCTTTAACTATTGCCTGCAGAGCCATATCATAATATAATCAAACCTATGATTAAAAAACCTTGACTGTTGTGGGACTGCACAGTCAGGCTGAACTTACTAATGTCCCCTTTACAGGCCACTTACCTCTTGGGCTTCCTACAGGGAAGGTGTTTTTTGTTTTGTTTTGTTTTTCTTTCCCTGGTGGCAGTAAGTTCACCACATGAAGTTGGTGAGTGAGAGGCTCTAATGAGGGCTGCCTACAGTTACAACAGACTTTTGCAGGAGTGTAGTGCTGTTACAATGTCAGAACTGCACCTTAGTCAATGAATCACCTGGGTGAGCTTTTTTCTTCTCTTCCTTTGTGGCCTACTACTCATTTTTTTTGAAGTCTTGCTCCATACACAGTATGTAAAGGCAGAAGCTATCTGAAGCCTGCATCCCAAGCAAGGGGGAAAAAATTCATAGGAAAGGGTTGCAGACCAAGCTGAATGAGCAAGCATCTCAAACAGGTGATTTAAGAGAAAGCAGAAAGCCTACAAGGAATGGAAGATGAGAGGGATCAGCAAGGAAAGCTACCTCTTGGAGGTCAGAAAGTGTAGGGATAAAATGAGACCTGCCAAAAGCCAAGCAGAGTTTGACCTTGCAAAGGGAATTAAAACCAATAGTAAAAGGTTCTATAAATAAGCAGAACATGAGAAAAGAAGAAGTGGGACCACTAAATACTGAGGATGGGGTGGAGATTAAAGATTATCTACGTTTGACCCAACACCTAAACAAATAATTTGCCTTAGTTTTTAATGAGGCTAATGAAGAGCTTAAGGGTAGTGGCAGGGTGGCTAATGGCAAAGAAGATATGGAGGTAGAAATTACCGCATCCGAGGTGGAAGTCAAACTCAAACAATTTAATGAGACTAAATCAAGGGGCCCAGATAATCTCCATCCAAGAATATTAAAGGAACTGGCACATGAAGTTGCAAGCCCAGTCGCTAGGATTTTTAATGAATCTATAAATTCGGGGGTTGTACCCTATGACTGGAGAATTACTAATATAGTTCCTATTTTTAAGAAAGGGGAAAAAAGCGATCCAAGAAACTACAGGCCTGGTAGTTTGAGCTCAATTGTATGCCAAGTCTTAGAACAAATTTTGAAAGAGAAAGTAATTAAGGACATAGAGGCGAATGGTAATTGGGATAAAATACAACATGCTTTTACAAAAGGTAGATTGTGCCAGACCCACCTGATCTCCTTCTCTGAGAAGATAACGGATTTTTTTTAGACAAAGGAAATGCAGTAGATTTAATCTACCTGGATGTCAGTAAGGCAAATGATACAGTTCTACGTGGGAAATTATTAGTTAAATTGGAGACGGTGGAGATTAATATGAGAATTAAAAGGTGGATAAGGCACTAGTTAAAGAGGAGAGTTCATACTGAAAGGTGAACTGTCAGGCTGGAGGGAGGTTACTAGTGGAGTTCCTCAGGGATTTGTCTTGGGACTAATTTTATTTAACATTTTGATGAATGACTTTGGCACAAAAAGTGAGTGTGTGCTTATAAAATGTGCGGATGACACAAAGTTGGGATGTATTGCCAATACAGAGGAGGACTAGGATATCATACAAGAAGATCTGGATGACCACGTAAACTGGAATGATAGAAATGGGGTGAAAATTAATAGTGCAAAGTGCAAGGTCATGCATTTAGGGATTAACAACAAGAATTTTTGCTATAAGCTGGGGACTGATCAGTTGGAAATGTCATAGGAGGAGAAAGACCTGGATGTATTGGTTGATCACAGGATAACTATGAGCCATCCATCTGGTGCAGCCATGAAAAAGGCTAATGCAGTCCTAGGATTCATCAGGCGAGGTATTTCCAGTAGAGACAGGGAAGTGTTAGTTCCATTATACAAGGCACTGGTGAGACCTCATCTGGAATACTGTGTGCAATTCTGGTCTCTCCTGTTTAAGAAAGATGAATTTAAACTGGAACTGGTGCAGAGAAGGATGATCAGAAGAATGGAAAACCTACTTTATGAGAGGAGACTCGGAGAGCTTGGCTCGTTTAACCTAACGAAAAGAAGGCTGAGGGGAGATATGATTACTCTTTATAAACACATCAGAGGGATAAATACTAGGGAGGGAGAGGAGTTACTTAAGTTAAGCGCCAGTGTGGCCACAAGAACAAATGGCTGTAAACTGTCCATCATCAAGTTTAGGCTCGAAATTAAATGAAGGTTTCTAATCATCAGAGGTGTGAAGTTCTGGAACAGCCTTCCAACGGGAGCAGTGGGAGGCAAAAAACCTAACCGGCTTTAAGACTGAGCTTGATAAGTTTATGGAGGGGTGGTATGATGGGACTGGCTATGATGGCATGTGGCCCATCAGTGACTGCCAGTAGCAAAAATCCCCAACTGCTGGAGATGGGACACTAGATGGGGAGGGCTCTGAGTAACTACAGAGAATTCTTTCCCAGGTATTTGCCTGGTGGGTCTTGGCCACATGCTCAGAGTCTAACTGATTGCCATAGTTGGGTTTGGGAAGGAATTTTTCCCCAGGTCAGATTGGCAGAGACCCTGAGGTTTGTTTGGTTTTTTTTGCCTTCCTCTGCAGCATGGGGCACGGGTCACTTGCAGGTTTAAACTAGTGTAAATGGTGAATTCTCTGTAACTTGAAGTCTTTAAATCGTGATTTGAGGATTTCAGCCGGAGGTTAGGGGTCCATTTCAGGAATGGGTGAAGTTCTGTGGCCTGCAATGTGCAGGAAGTCAGAATAAATGATCAAGGTGGTCCCTTCTGACCTTAAAGTCTGTGAGTCTGTGGGCTTGTCTACACTACCGCGCGGGGTTGATCTAAGATGCGCAACTTCAGCTACGTGAATAGTGTAGCTGAAGTCGACGTACTTAGATCTACTTACCACAGTGTCTTCGCTGCGGTAAGTCGACAGCTGACGCTCTCCCATCAACTCCACTTGCGCTCCTTGTTCTGGTGGAGTACTGGAGTCGACAGGAGAGCACTCAGCAGTCGATTTATCGTGTCTATACTAAACGCAATAAATCGACCCCTGCTGGATCGATCGCTGCCCGCCGATTCGGCGGGTAGTATGGACAAGCTCAAAGTCCAACCACAAAAGCTTTTCTTCAAAACACCCTTCAAACTTCCTGCTTTCTGTGCCAGAGTGAGTGACTGTCCATTCAGTTCTAAGGCACCCGTGACATCCCTCATTCTGGCAGACAAACCAGGGCACTTGCAGTTCAAGATCTCAGGGAGATGATTTGTCATTAATGCTGCATTTAACGCACTTAAACAGCTTATTAATTTCTCTTGAAATCTAATAAATTTCCTTCTAATTCTCTTTTTTTAGCAAAACTTTTGCGGTTCACCTTTAAAAAGGGTCCCTTGCTTTCTGTGTAAAGCAGAAAATTGGTCTTTAAGTATCCTGTGGCTAATAGCACCATTCACACAGTGAGTTTCTTCCTCCTTGAATGACGGAGTTATGCCAGGGCTAAGGCCCAGATCCTTCTGTCACAGAAGATACATGAAACATCTCCTGGCTCATTCATGAAGGAGTGGTAGTGGTGGGAGGTCAAATTTGGAGTGTGGATGGGTGGGGAGCCTAATTTTGGCTATTAAATTCCAGTACTGTATGGGATGATGATTCTCGTAAATCATAGTCAGCCATAGGACAATTTCCTCTATTTAGCGAGGGAGCCATCTTTTAGAGGTGTGTTTGCTGTGTCTGTCGTGCAGTGTTACACCTGTTGCCATTTTGCAGGTGCAAAATGTGAAGCAAACACTTTTGATGGGGAGCGTTGTTTGTACGGGGCTTTGAGTGATGCCATCCGACGTGTGTTGAAGGAATACAAGCAGATCACAGCGAAGTGCATGAAGAGAGATTATTACGATGTCTTCTTGCAGCGGTAAGGTGATTGGACAGCTATTCAGCACATTTCAGAATCCCAGCCTGGATGTCAGCTAGGCCACTTGAATCTGTCATTCTGGCTTAAACCATTTGCAGGTTGATCAGAGCCCTGCCTCATTCTATACATGCTTTTACATATCTTGTCAAATTAGGCAAAGGTTCAAACATACACTAACGGATCATTTACCGCATACATCTGGGTGTTGAATGAAACTTCCATCACCTTACGTACACAACACAGGCAGGGCCAGTGGAATGTTGAGAGAGCATAGTAAAAGCATGACATTTGCAACGTACACTTTTGAACCCTTGACTGCCAGATCAAAACGCATTTTCATCAGGTTGCCAAGAAACACATATGGGAATTGGAACGACATGTCAGACAAGTTTAAGTTTCACCCCTAACCTGCTGCGGCAATAAGGCCAATATTTTCACTAGTGAGCAGTGATTATAAGTGCTTTATTTTGGGGGTGCCCAACTTATGGCCTCTTAAAGAAGCCTGATTTTCAGAGAGAAGGCGCTAAGCACTTCCTGAAATTCTGGCTCCTTTAAGGTGTCTCCAGTTGGGCTGCCAAAGTCAGGAGTCATTTTTTGAAAATATTGGCCTAAATTTTCAAACAAACAAATTATAGATTGTTTTAGAATGGCAAATGTGTGGGATTTTCCCCACTCTCTTTTGTATTAAAAAATGATAGAATTGTCCTTGCTCAGTCTTCCAAAAATATAGCTCTTGGGCTGAGAGGAAACATGGGGAAAACTTCAGCTTCAAAGATAAGAGAAGGTTCTAAGCACCTGAAAAAGGCCCATTAGAATGGAAACGCTTAAGGCTTGTCTGTACAAACACTTAGTTCATGACAAGCTGGGGTGTACATTTTTCCCACTGTAGCATGCTGTGCGCTAAGGCTATATCCCCACCGTGGAGCTAGGGGGTGTGGTTCCCAGCTCCCACAGACATACCCATGCTAGCTCTCATCAAGCTCTGGTGTGCTAAAAATAGTAGCATAGCTGGAGAAGCATGGGGAGCAGTTTCACAGGCTAGCTGTGCTGAGTACGTACCCATGGGGTTCAGAAGGGTGAGTACTCGGAGTGCCACTGCTCACCGCTGTCTGTGCTACTGCAGCTGTACACCTTTTTTTAGTGTGCTGGCTCACATTAGAGCGAGCCCAAGTATGTCTACGCACGCTGAGAATCACTCCCCCAGCTCATAGTGTAGATGTAGCCTGAGTGTATGTGTGGGCGCTGCTGCTACACCCTTAAAGTCCCCTAGTGCACCTTGTGTGCTCCCATTTCTCTACATACAAAAAGCTTAGGGAATGCATTATAATGAAGTGATGAATACAGGCTTTGTCAGCATGAGCTTGGGGTGGTCACATTCATGGGGGAATGGGCAATCCACAAGTGAGCCGCGCATCCCAAACAGCTGATAAGACATTCAGACTGCACTGTCATGTGTTCACTGTATGCCATTTACTTTACAGAACATAAAAAGAATGTACAAGAATCTTAAAATCTTTTAATGAGTCTGTATATATTATGTTACTTTAGTTAAATCCAATTACATGGGGCTCAAAGGAGCCATGAATCTGTCTAAAACTGATCTAAAATAGATTTTTAATAGACTTTTTTTTAAAAAATCATGATTTTAAAGTCTGTACCTTCCAAATCTGGAAGCAAATGAGACCCACTGGGAGCTTGGAATTTCCCCTTAGTTTCCATTTTTAACCCTGCAGGGAAACCAGAAAAAATAGCTTGCTTGTTTTTGCAAAAAATTACTCTCCCCAGGTAAGTACAATTTTGAAAAGTTGATTTAAACATCTCAGATGTTGCATTGTTGAGCTAATTCACCAGAACCAGGGTGAAACTGGCTACGTTCCACGTTCATTTTTCAAATGGAGCTAAAGTTAAAATTGTAACACATGGCAGTAATGCTGAAAAGTAAATTAATTCATCATTTCTAAAATCTTTCATTTGTACTTAGGTGAGATATCAGTAGGAAAGACAGTACCATGATTGGAGTCCTGTGTGGCCTTTGCAAGCCTCTTTGCCTCTCTGTGTCTGTGCCTCTCTGGAAATCTCTGTAATGGGGATAATGCCTTCCTCATGGGGATGTTGTATGGATAATGCATTCTAGATTGTGAGGCACTTAGATTCTATGATGATGAGGGCTATATAAGTACTGAAGAAAAACTGCAACACTCTTTATCTTGACAGTGTCTCCTTAAGGAGCAAGATGTTCACAAATTGCCATTTTCCCCAGTGTGTGAAAGCTTCTTTCTTCTCCTTCACTTTTCTCTGTATTCTCCTTCCTCATTCTGTGCAGCCGATTTTATCTTCCCCTCTTTCTTTTTTTCTTCCAGGCTTCTGGAACAGGGTTACCAAAGCGACATTGTCTTCATTGTCCATGGGAAATCCTTCTGTGCCCACCGCTGCATCCTTAGTGCCCGCAGCGTATACTTTGCAGAAATGTTTGAGACCAAGTGGAAAGGGAAGAACATGATCGCATTAAAGCACCCACTGGTGAGGAGAACCATGCTTCAGGTTTTTCCCCCCCATGTCTTAGATATTTTCTTTCTAAGGAAAGTGAGGCTGAAAAGGCAGTTTCAGGGGTAATGTCCATAGTTGACACCTTCCATAACACAGAACAGTTCCAGAACTCAGAGGAAGATGGAACACTTTATGCACTAAAATGGCTTCTTACTCTGATACATTGAAAGCTGTGGGCTGTATGCTGTCAGATTCCTCTCATTTGACCTCTGGCATTGGTTCAAATTCAGCTCAGGTCAGTAGTAAAAGAGCTGTTACCAGCTGTTTGGTGACCCTTATGTGAAACGAGTTGAGCCTTTGTCTAATTCCCAGTAGACAGGTGGCCCACACCACAGAAATCACCACTGTAATTGGCTCCCACTTGTTGCCTCAGCAGAGAGGCTAAGAACTAAATAGGCCATAAGTGGATTTTGCTTGTCCGTTACCAGCACTCTCCAGCATATGTTTCTGTGGTATGGCTGTCTGTCGGAAACCTCAGATTCTCTCCTGTTGCAAACATCCTTCCTGTTTCTCAAGACAACCCTAGTTTTCATCACCTTCCATCTGTGTTGCTCTTTAGGCTGTAACTTGGGTTCCTCTTTAACTAGGAGGGTTGGAAGTGGTGGGGACCCATGGATGACCTGTTGTGATAGCGCTTCTACTGCAGTTGCCTTCTTAGATGTGAACTGCAATGTCTCTGTTACCTGCCAACTCCTCAGGCACAGATTCTGTGCCTTTCCCTGGAACAAACCTCATTCTCTGATGTGTAACACGAGGTGGGGATGTGTAAATCAAAAAGTTAATATATTTACAGATCTCTGTAAGCTGGATAGAGTGGGAATACTAGTTATGTGAGGGAGCAGGGGAATGGTGTGTGTAATCAAAATGCTATTATTGTACTAGTTCCACAGAGGAGGCATCCTCACTTACCTCCCTTGCATTCTAGAGTCCTTTCCTTGAACATAACCCCCTGACCTTTACCTTAGTGTGTAATGTGCTATCACTTTAGTTAGGTCATGTATATCCACATTGACATTTCAAGCTCCTTGAATAAATGTGTGTGCTTTATATAGGTGACCTTTTCATGTCTTATTTTAGATCAACCCAGCGGCCTTTGGCTCCCTCCTGCAGTATCTTTACACAGGTATGTTGCTGCTGCTTGACATGTGCATGCATGTTGGAATGCAGTAGTCAGCACCTCTTTGCCATGGCACTGTTTGGGTGGCAGAGACTTCTCGACAAGCTTGTTTGGGTGGGTGGGTAATCATGGCTTAAACACAATCTCTCTGTCATCTGGCAGATATGAGGAGTATGAGCAATTCCATGTTGTTGTTGAAAGCTGGTTGTAAATGCATATTTGTGGTTCTGCCAGTAACTGGGGAGTCAATAAAAATCAACTTTGGTTGAGTGGACAGATGTGGGAAATGTACCTTCTCTAGGATAATAAAAATATGTGTTTCAGAGTAGCAGCCGTGTTAGTCTGTATCCGTAAAAAGAAAAGGAGTACTTGCCACAAGTACTCCTTTTCTTTTCAAAAATATGTGCGCCATCTAAGCAAATGATCTCCTAAACTGAGCAGTGACCATATTCCCTGTGTACACTGACTTGTGAGCATTTTGATATGGGCAGCCCTGATTGCTGAATGGTTTGACTACAACTTGTTATGTCATTCCAGCAGAAGTTGTTCTTAAACCTTCAGCCAGTATTAACCAAGTATTTTGTATTCTAGGAGGGAATGCAAGTGCAATATTCCCTCAGACCATAGGGTGGTGCCCTAAGTTAAACTTCCAACGTGTACTGTAAGGGAAACGTTACTAAGGCATCTGAGTTTCTTCACCAGAAAACAATAACTGCTTATCTCTTTAGGGTTATCTTTCCCCAGTGCACTCTTTAAAATGCTCTTTAGTAAATTTGGTGCTTCTGAAAGATTGAGATCGAAGTCCTTTCTCACGTCAAAACATGATGGCAGCAGCAATGTAAGCTTCCACCGCCCTGCCCCTCATCTCTGTTCTTCCAGAGAAAATGAAATTTTGTCTGCAAGAGCCAATCAGTCTTTGGCCTCTTTGCTGAGACTGCCAAGTGGGGGTCCAGTTGCAGTGTGGGCAACGGAGAAACTGAGCTGATATTCACCAAATTTGGTTCAGCCACTCAGCAGTCAACAGATAGTAATTTGCACTGCTGTAATGCTACTTGCTTACCTGAGCTAGATTTATACCAGTGATCCAGAAGTGAGACTGCATAGCCCATTAGCAATCCTTCAGTCCATCCAGTCCCTTGTCTATAGATCAGCCATTTTTACGCTTAAGTAAGTAAATGGTGACTGGTGCGAGGTCAAGGAACTGTCAGATAGAATTTTGGTGTTTCTCTTTGGCAGGTCGTCTAGACATTGATGTAGAATATGTGAATGATTGCAAGAGACTAGCCAAGCAGTGTCGGCTTCAGGATCTCATAGAGGATTTGGAGATCAAGTGTAAAAAGGTCTATGAATTTGGTGAGCTCCCCTTTAATGGCTGCTTCTCTTCATTATGTTTGTTTTTCTTTTGGAGTGGGAGGGGAGATCATGACAATGGACGTTCCACCAATGGGACACCTGTGGCACTCAGAAACTAATTGTGGGGGGGGGGGACCCTGAGTGGTTCTATGCACAGCTGTTAGCTGAATAGGTCTTTCACATGGAGGATCCCTGTGGGGCAACTTCTGTAGTACTCCATGTCTGAACAGTGAACAAGTGTACATTATAGTAGTGGGAACCCTGGCAGCAAGGCTTTATTGAGTGACAGCAACAATAGCAGAGCACTGAGGAGCATGTTTCAAAGTCCCTGTAATCAGAGAGCTAGTGGGTTACAGTGGTGGCTCATGCGTTCTCTGCATGTTAGAAACGCCTGACTTAAAGTGAAACAGTCAGATAATTTAGACTTGGTGTGTTCTGTGTGTGAACAGACAGACACACACAAAGTTAATATAAAAATGTTTTATGTGTGTTTTTAAAAATACAAACAGTTGCATGTTTTTTGAACATTCTTCTGGAGTGTTCGTGATCCAAAGACAACATCATTGGGCCATTGAATGAGAACCAGCAGGTGGGATGTTAGATGGGGTGGGATCTGAGTTACTACAGAGAATTCTTTCCTGGATATCTGGCTGGTGAATCTTGCCCACATGCTCAGGGTTTAGCTGATGGCCATATTTGGGGTCAGGAAGGAATTTTCCTCCAGGGAAGATTGGAAAAGGCCCTGGGGGTTTTTTGCATTCCTCTGTAGTATGGGGCATGGGTCACTTGGTGGAGGATTCTCTGCACCTTGAAGTCTTTAAACCACGATTTGAGGACTTCAATAGCTCAGGCATAGGTGAGAGGTTTTTCGCAGGAGTGGGTGTGTGAGATTCTGTGGCCTGCATTGTGCAGGAGGTCGGACTAGATGATCATAATGGTCCCTTCTGACCTTAATATCTATGAATACTAGTCTTCTAACAGCCTAAATATTGCAAAGTAAAATACATTTAGAAAATGAACTGCTTTCAGATGTAACAGTTTAATGGTTTAACTGGTAAGGAAACATGTAGTTTGAAATCACACAGGGTCTGCGTCTCCCCTCATTTACACTCTAGTGTAAATAACTCCTTTGACTTAGTCAAGTTACTTCTGATGTGAAAGCAGAATCTGGCTCATTCTTTTTAATCTGATTGTGTCCTTTCTCTGATCTAAGAGGTAAGGTTGTTGTAGCTGCTCAGGTTTTTACTTTAAATATTAATTGTCGATTCAGATTTTGCAGATTTGCATGATTACATATGTAGCCTGGAGTGACAGTCCTCCCATATCAGAGGGGTAGCCGTGTTAGTCTGGATCTGTAAAAGCGGCAAAGAGTCCTGTGGCACCTTATAGACTAACAGACGTATTGGAGCATAAGGTTTCATGGGTGAATACCCACTTCGTCGGATGCATGTAGTGGAAATTTCCAGAGGCAGGTATAAATATGCAAGCAAGAATCAGGCTAGGGATAATGAGGTTAGTTCAATCAGGGAGGATGAGGCCCTCTTCTAGCAGTTGAGGTGTGAACACCATGGGAATCCTCCCATAGTGCAATGTTAGCTCTACAGCGGCATCACAGATCTTGCATTTTTTAACCCTGTTATATGCGCATGTATACAAAAATATTTAAACACATAAAGAAAGAATTGTTCTGCTGCTTTTAATGAGTGGCAGAAGATTCCGCTTTACGTACCAACTGTATGCTGGAAAAGAAAAGGCTGCGGTCAACACCCTTAAGAAAAAATAAGTTAGTAAATCAGACAGTCAGATAACAAAAATGATGTTATGATTTACAGTATCTTGTAATACCAAAATGTTTCAGTGAGTCACTGGATGGCAGCTTTATGGTGTTGTAGTTGATTGGTGTGGTGACCATTCTTCTCCAAAAGCCCACATTATAATCCCTTATTAGGCTGCAAATTAAATAAAGTTAAGGTGGTCTGTTACTGTAATGGTTTGTAAATATTCTGAAACCATCGTGCAGTTTGGCATGATTGGCAGCTTCTACTCATGAGGTCCAGGACAGAAATAAAAAAATGACTGCAAGTAGGATGGAGGCATTGGGCCCCAGGATTAGAGGAACAAGAGAAGCATTACCTCATAGCAGCAGCAATTGGAGTGGGAGTCGGATATAGCTTCTAATCCCACCCTGGTGTAAGCTTCCTGTATGGCACTGGGCAAATCACTTTAACTTCTGTGTTCCCCTCTGTAGAATGGGGATGATGATGATTTTATTTCACACGGGTGTTGTGGGGCTTAATCAATGTTTGCAAAGCACTGATATAAGTGATAGGGGTTGTGTGTTTGTGGCAGAGCAGGACTATAGTGAATTGGCAGCATTGTAGCTAGTAACATTAAATGTTTGCCTGTCAAATCATACATGTTATAGGTGAACCAGGGGAACTAGTGTTGAATCCCCAGGAGAAAATTAATATGAAAGAATCAGAGAAGTTAAGGGATTGGAAAGACCTGTTGGGTCACCTGGTTTCCTTTACTTGCCAAAACATTATTGTTCCCTATTGTATATTAGAAGTTCCTGCTCAGAATATTTTCTAGGAGATAGGCATTTGGTTCAGACCTGGGTCTCTGGCCTAATTGCACTGATCAGGGTCCACAAAAACCTGTTACGCTATTTGGAAGAATTCAGGCAGGATTTGTCCAGATTAAGTTATAATCCTTGCTATGGAACTGGAGGCATTTAAAAAAAAATTGTTCAGGAGCATTTTCTGTTTGCTGCAAAGCATAAGAATTCAGGACAGGATTTGTGAACACCTATTTTCACAGGGCTCTGGACTTCAGCTCCAGGCAAAAACCTGCAGCTCCACTGTTCCGGAGCTGCTCCACGCTCCAGCTCCGGGCTCCGCTCCAAAGCCCCATTTTCAGACCTCAGGCCTCGGATCTAAAGGGCCAGTGGCGGTGGCTGTGCACAGCATTGCACAAGTGCATGTGTAATGCAGATGTCCAGGTATTGCATGATCTTGGAAAGGTTTCTTTCAACCCAGCTAAACCTGTGGTGTATTAGTAAAGACTACAAAGAAGTATTAAGCAAGTCAAGAACAAAGACAGATTATGAAGTAGTCAGTGATGTACTGCGCTGTGCAGCTGTACCGGAAGGGAGTTTAATGACTAAACAGTATATTCCCTCCTGGCACTGCAGGACTGTTCCCTACAGTGTACTTGCCAGTGCTTTGGCCTACCTTTTTTTAAAGACTTGAGTGTCTTCTCTTGACACCATTCTACTACTCTAAAGGAGCCTCCCAAATACTCAATCTACATCCTTTTGCTTCGTTTCATACCTATTACAACTCCTTAGCTTGCCTTAAATGGTTATTGTCCCTCCTCAGTGCTTATACTTGCCAGACATTTGAAGGAGGTTAGTGTGCTTTCCTGTTCTTATTTAGCTGAGTTGCACGTGGCTATGCTTCATTTAATCTTCCTTCCTAGCTAGATAAGTCACTCCAGCTCCTTTTATTATTTGTATTGCTCTTTTCTGAATTCCCTGCATTTCTTGCATTTCACAAACATCAGATGATGGACCTTTCTGCCTGCGGCTACCAACAATCTATTTTTTTTGTCTCTTTCATCTGGTCTTTCATCCTTTTAGAAGCAAAAAAAATTGTAACAGTGGAATGTTGCGTCCATGCATTTGAAATGTGCAATGTCTGAATTGGTTTATACGCTATCATCCAAAACCCACTGTTTCTGGTGTGAGCATCATGGGAAATTCTTTCAAGTTACTATGGAAGTGCCTAGATATGTTGGAGAACCTAGGGTGTGGATACTTACCATTGAGTCTGCCATATTTCTTGGCTGATAACTCGGAGTAGGCACATAGGATGTGGCATGAGTCTTGTGTGTGTGAGGGAAGGATTCCTTGTTCTCATTTGTCTTCCTCTCAAGTTTTTGTAGTGTCACCATGGTATCTGAGTTCTTCAGTTACAAGGTAGCTTCAGATAGTTTCTCTGTTTGACCCTTTTAATCTCTCTTGCTGTTCCCAGATGTCTCTTGGGTGGGAAAGGTAGGTTGACTCCCACAAAATATGGTTTTAAAGCAATTACATACACAGCCTCTGCTTTAAACTAGTACAAAGCTCTTTCCAGCCTTATCTACAGTAGGGTAAAAAGTGTGAACATGCTCTAACAAACTTTTTTATTCTAGTCTAGACAAGACCTCTGTGTCCCTCAAAGGTTAATGGGTAGAAAGTGCTTTGAGAGCCTCTGATGAAAGGCACCCATAAAAGTGATCATTATCATCACACAGTCACAGTAACCTGTCTCCCGTAGACAGATAGTAATGTAGTCTAAGTGTATGTCTTCACTCCAGAGTTAACGTGGGTGATAGGTGCCCAGGTCTGAGCACCTGAGTTAGCCTAGGCTGAGTGTAAGCAGCCACACTGTGAAGCCGTTCCAGAGTGAGTATCCTCACTGGTGCGACACTTACCCATATGTGGTATTAGGACTTCGGAGGGCCTATCTCATGGTTCTTTGTGCTGCAATAAGATGAGCCACTCTGACTCTTTGCCAGTGAATTTTGGAAGAACTTGTCTGTCCTTCTAGGCACACCTGTGCGGATAAATTGTGGGAAGGCTTTGGAGGACTGTTGGCACTCTAATGATTTTAGCCTGCATTGTCACAGCAAAGTGGGTAGGTTACCAATGTGTGTGAAAGTGCCTCTTGGGTTTTAGCCTGCAACCCCAGACAAGCCAGCAAGCCCAGTTTGTAAGCACCACTGAACTTGGGTGAGAAGATTTTGTGTGTGGACAGCAGGGGGATTAGCAGAAACACCTGAGTAAGCGCCCATGTTAACTCTCCAGTGAGGACATATTTTAAAGGGACAAAGACAGTGTTCTCAGTTGCTTAGGCGGATCTGTAATTCTGTGGGAATCTGTTCTGACAGCTTTGTCAGTTCGGCTTGGGTCTATCCCATACCTGTCCTGCCCCTATAGCAAGTATGGTTGTTTGCTGAAGACAAGGGCATCAGCATTCAGTCCTATACATAGAAACTGCATAGCTCATTCTCCAGGGCACCTCTCTGGATATAGATCATAGAATCAATAATGTCTTTAATTGGTGGATTGGGTTTTTATGCACCCTACTGTTTCCAGTACCATTTGGGATATTCAGCCAGTTCAGGTGACATGGTGGCCTGTCCTGATGGGTGCAATGCTTTCTTGGCGGTGGGGGCGGAGGATTCGTATTGTGGCACATCTCGGTCTCATTTCGCCCACCATCTGATGGAGTCATCTGATGAAGCCCATATAATGATGAGCAAAATGTCAGGAAAAATGAGGTCTCATGGTGATGTGATTCACCTGAGAAGAGAGGGGTTTTAATGTGGTGAATCATGCCTGTCAAAAATCTTTTGCAACACCCAGTACAGTGCAGTTTAACTCTTTAATCACCGATCGTTAACATCTCTTTCTTTATGCTCCCAGTAGAATCCATAAGATTTCATTGCAGCAACTTTCATATTTTCAACTGCACTTTGTTTTACAAGCATTCTCTGCTAAGGGGCTCTCAAAATCTGGCAAAGTCCAATCTAAACTGGACTTGAGACAGCAAATGAAGTTCATAAATGATCATGGAGAGGAAAGGCAAAGCTGACAATAATAAGATTACACAGTAATGCATGTACACACCTTGACAGTGCTGCAAACTTTTTAAAAACCTTTCCTTCCCATCTGTGCTCATGCAGCTGTACCCAAAAGAGGTGGCGAAGACCCCTGAGACCTTTAATTTTACCTGTGCTGCTAGGGACCTGCCACACTACTTGCGTTCATCATTCCTGCCAGTGGAACAAAAAGTTTATAGATACGGCAGGCAGCTCTTTCTTAAGGGACAAAGCTGTTGGAGAAGAAGGGCCAGAGGAGAGATTTTAAATTAAACCTCTATTAAATCCAGACCAGCTTTAACTGAGTCTCCTGTTATTGTGGCCTTTGGCTGTAAGGTGCCCATCACAGTGTTGTTTGGGGGTGGAGGGGTGTCCTTTGTGTGATTTGGATCAAGGGAATACCATAGTTTCCCCAAATGGGGAGCACTTACTGTGTTCCCTTGTGGTAGACTAACTAGCTATCCTGACAGGACCAGAAACTGTGAGGTTCCTAGCCAGGAAGAGAACTGAGAAAGAGCTTCTCAGACCTCCTCTCATTAGTCTTTTCTTTGTTTGCTGGTCCCTTGGTGGTGGCTATTAGCATTTAAGACTTACAGTGCAGTAGCACCTAGAGGCCGCAATCTATATGGGGTCCCCATTGTGCTCAGCTCTATATAAATATACTGTATAGAAAATGACAGTCTCTGCCCCAAAGAACTTAGTCTTAAGGGTTATAAATCCTCTTCCCCATGGAATTAAATCACAGCAGCAATTCTAGTACCTGATCCAGGAGAGTGGTGGTGCAACAGAGGGAAAGCATAAGCCAGACTTCACTCTAAATAAATAACCAACGGGGGCACCAGTGGCCTGGAGTAAACGTGTCTGTAGTTAAATACGCTTCGCCCCCTTGCCTAGCAGGGATGTATCTTATGTTATTACTGTGTCACCTAGGGCTGACTCCAGCGGCAGAGAAGCAGCCTCCATAAGGCAGTTCTTGATCCTGTCTGTAGGGAGCGGTAGCAGAGAGGAGGACAGAACAGGCACATGGCTGCTCCCTTTCCTCACCAGGGTCTCTGTAACTGATCTGCTGGAAGCGAGGGTTGAGTGGAGACATAAGAGGGGAAACGGTGGAATCTGTGTCTTCTTTCTTCCTCCCAATGGTAGTTACAGCCCTGATCATTGCTAGCAGGTGCATGTGTGTGTCTCTCTGAAGGACATGTTTTTATATTCTAGTGGAGACTAAGAGCTAGACAAAACAAACATTCCTTAGGGATATTTTTTTAACAGGAGGGAAAGTTTTTTAGATTTAGTTTTTTCTAGGCATCTATGCTTTTTGTTTTGTTGTTTTTCTTTTCCCTTTTCCAGTCTCTTCCAAGCCAGGGACCTGTGTGAAAGTGCTGACGATTGAGCCCCCAGGTAACTGTCGGCTGCAGGAGGATCTGGCTCTACTAGCAGACTGCGCCCTGCCGGCTGAACTGCGGGTAGGGAGTGTTTCTATTTCTTCCCACACTCCACTGGGACCTTCGGACTGAGGGAGCTGCTTGGTCACACACACTTAGGCTTACTTTCTCTGTTCGTTTTTGTGGTCACTTGTTTACTGGTATTAATGGCACAAGCTGACTTTCCAAACTCTGAAGCCATGCATAGCACAGGGAAATGCTGTATATCTCATAACCAGGCTGCCAGTTTTCCTTTTTGCAGCAAGATTATTCCTCCCTCAGAGATTTGTAGAGGTCAGATCCCTGGTCTCATCCAAGTCAATCAAAGTTTCCCCATTGATTTCAACGGGAACAAGATTTAGCCCCTAGTTGAGTATATTACTGGGATGCAAGAAGGGGGAAAAAATTCCTTGGATGACAGCAGTACCTTTGGGTACGTATAGATGGAATGGGATGCCTAACTGGGATTATCGGTCCACAGAGTTTAGCTGATCCTCTGGTTAAGAATCATTCCCCATAGTGTATTGGCAGGGAGTTAGTTTGTTACTTTTCTCAGAAGCATTGAGTCAGGATTATCTGTTAGACTCAGCTATGTGTATTCCACACTATTGATTCCCAGCGATGCAAGTAAACAGGGAAGATATTGGTGGACCCCAGTTCTTCCTGCCTTTGTTCACCTCTGTAATATCGATAGTTGCATCTTATATTTTCCTTCCTTTAATATGTTTGTCCCAGTTTCTTCACATTGAGTAGTAAAACTAATAACATACTCATTTTAAGCAGCTCTGTGCCTGTGGGCTATATAACTGAACAGTGTAACAAAGCTTATTGCTTTCTTGTGCGAAACAGAACTCCCTGATGCATAGCTCAAGGAAATGTCTGAAGCAAGGTAGAAACTCTGTCCATGTATCTTTTTTTTTTTTTTTTTAATGTGATGGTGCCTTAAGTTTCTTAAGCAAGATGTGCCAAGGTATTTTGTGCTGGCTCTTAGTGATCCAGTTATTCTAATTCCTGAGGGATTTAAAGAGGGAATCCTGTCCATGGATGTTTCCTCTATCAAGGCAGAAAGCTGCTTTTTTTGTATACCTTTGTTGTGGTTTTCTTTATTTATCATTAGTTACTTGGAAAAATCAAAAACCAGAGGGGAATGTAGAATGAATTCCAGTAGTGTCAACCCCAAGTGCTTAAACATCACGAGTGAGGTGCCCAAATACAATGAGTGTGACTTAAAAATCATGCAATTAAAATAAATAAATAAATCAGGTTCTTTGGTTTTGTTTTCTGGTTTCTGAGCCTTTAGGGTGCACGTGGGTCACATTTTTCGAGCTTTTCTCCACAACCCTAAGGGCTAGAAACACACTTCCTTTCTTTAAAAATGAAAACCGAGATTCCTCCATAGTCGTATGGGAACGGGTTCTTTAAGGAAGAAAAACCCCAAATGTCATGAGAATCTGGATAAAATAATGAGTTAGCATTGCTGAAATTTCCTGAATTTTTTTCAGCTGTTTTATGTATCTTAGAAAAAAGTACACCATAATCCAATCTAAACATGTTACATTGATACTGCTGTCCTACTTTGTGTGTGTGTTCATGAATGCTAGAAGGAATGGGGGAAAATTTATTAGAACATCTGCATGGCACCCATAACCATGGAATCAGGGTTCTTATTACCCCTAATTGCCTTGTTTTAACTTGATAATTTTTTAAAAGCTCCTCTCTTTCCTGGCCATTTATAAAGATCCTAAAGACAGGATTGTAGCCTTTTAATCTGCCTTTTACTGCTTAATTATCATTTACATCTCTTCTAAATCTTTGTTTACTGGGGTCATCCCATGAAGTAGGCATTTGAGTCCCAGGAGCAGCAATCCTGCAACCTCACCAGTAGATTCTGATACCATACAAATAATATAATACAAAACACTTAATCTACGAGGCCAAAGCACACTGACCAGTCAGTCACAAACGTGAAGTTTCTTGTAATAAACTACAGTACGGTTTCTGGTGCTTTGCTTTGTGCTTTTGTAGATGCTCTATTTTGTTCCTTGTGTCATAGAACCCTGATGACTCAACATGCAGCTGGATATAAAATCTTGAGTCTGCTTCTCCGCTGGTAATCCCATTATGGATTGTTAGGACATAATGGGCCTCTGTAGGTTGTCCTAAATTACTTACGGCTGAATTTTTCTACTGTGCTTATTTCTATCTAGAAGCAAATTGCTTCTCCCTGTTGGATGTGCACATTACTGTCCCCGCTAGTTGTTCTTGTCTGAATTTAGACAGCACTCTCTTTGGGGCAGGGACTTAGGCTTCCGATGTTTCTTGAAGTGCCATGCATGTCTCCAATGCTGTATAAGATTCAGAGCAGGTACAAAGAGCGGGTAACAGAGCAGGTTAAAAGCCGTGGGGATAAGATGGGGTGAGACAGATACTCTGAAGCGCTACAGATCCTTTACTTTCAGGAGCTGTAAAAATTCCCTTTGTCCTGCTCCCAACAAAAAGAAAGAGTATACAGGTTACCAACTGTAACTAAAGTCGTAGATGAGGGAGACCAAGCAGGGTTGCTGCAGAGTTTGGGAAGGTGGCTTTGCTGTTTAATAACCGAGAAATTGTGACGGTCATTAGGCTTAGTTGTACTGTAATCAGAAACTATTCTGCCAAATGGTCCTGAGTACTGACAGAGAGCCCAGCGAGTTGGGCCAGGTTGCCATGCTCCGAAGTAGTGTGAAATTCAGAGCCTTTGCTAGCTTAGTGGTTCTCCGCAGCCTAGGACCAGGAGTGCCAGAGAATCCCCATTGTGTATGAATTGAGCTTGCCTGATGGTATTGAAAGCAGCATGTATCTCTGTTTGTTTCCTGTTGAGTGAGATTGCAGAGAGGGGGAACCTGATACGTCTCACTAATTCCCCACTATACCCAATGCTCTCCGCTAGTGCGGTTGGGTAGGAGATAATATCTGCCATTCTTCCACTGGATGTGGAACTTCTTGGCTTGTAGCCCTTGCACCTGGGGAAACCTAGAGCCAGTTTTTGATGTGATTTGCTCAGAGGAGAGCCTTGTGGTAGGGATCAGACTTTTCATCCCAGGCTGCTCAGGGTATACACCTAGATAGGAGAAAGCAGAGGAAACTCTTGTTTTCAGGGGATAATTGCTCTGGTTACATGGCTGTGAACATAGATTCACACAATTGAATTCCCTTGTGTCCAGAGAGAGAGAATAACTTATAAGCAACATATCCATAATGCTATTTAAAAAAAAAACCAAGCCCACAACCTTTTATGCCAGTTGGCTTGGCACATTGAATTGGAGGGAGTTGTGTTAATAATCTAGTGAATTAGTTTAACTTTAATTTCTTTGGACTGCAGAGTGACAAGAAATTGAACTGTGCATGGGAAGCTTTGTATTGAATGATGTTGTAGTTTCAATGCAATTGCTCCAGATCTGTGCATTCCTTTACTTAAGCTATAAAATGACTTTTTACGTATACTATGGTTAAAATAACATGCCTTTCCTTGACTGGTGTCAATGTTAAGATGCCCATCCCATGATGTAAACTAAATACCCACCCAGCAATCCACCTCCTCATTTAGAAGTCCAAGAGGAGTTATGAGCATGCCACTGTTGGCTTGAAGGTCATTTGGCTCTGCTGGACAAACTGGGAAGGGGAATTTCAGTTCAGAAGCCTCTCCACTGAGACTACCGGGCATCGAGCTCTCAGATGTATAAATCTAGGATCAGTCAGGAAGAGCATCTCTAGTGATCTCCATTGCTGCTGAGGTGTAAATGGGTAAAGGTGGGTGTCTCAGATAGCCAAGACACACAGGTCTTTATAGATCAATGCCAACACCTCTAATGTTGATACCATGGATGCAAACTGCAGAAATTTCTTATCTTTTAACTTGTCTTTCTAGGTGGGTTTTGGGGAGTTGCCATTTGACAGCACTGACAACTTTAGCAGCTGTCCTGATGTGTGTTTTCGAGTGGCAGATTACAACTTTTTATGCCATAAGGTATGCGCATACATTTAGAAACATCAAGGTCCATGTACACATCCTTCCCACGCACTTAGTACAAGATAGTTAGATATACTGCAGGGGTAAGCTTAAACTTAAAGCACTCTTCTTAATGAAACAGCCCAGCTTGTCTCCCTTCAGGGTAAGGAGATTCGTGAATTGCAGTAAGAGGCATCTACACTGTGTCTCATACTGTCAGCAACAAATCTGAACCTGTCATTGGAAATGCTGGATCCTTAATAGTTCAGGATGACTCAGTGTAAGGGTGGAACTGGAAACAGAACTCAGGAATCCTGACTCTGAGCCCTCTAACTAGAACTGTATTGCTACTCTAGATTAACAGTCACTCTAGTTAATATCTCTCTTTTGCTTTGAGAGCAGTAATGTGTAAAAATAAGACATGAAAGAAAAAAGACAAGTTTATCAGAGTCTAGGGATAAAAACACAGAGCGATGGCAGAGGTTATGCTACTGACTCGGTGCTTTGGAACTTGCTTAATGAATTCCTGAAAGTTGATCCCTTGCCTAATGCTGTTTGGCTCAGTGCAGCAGAAAGGGAGATGTTAATGTTGGATTTTTCCTTTCCAATGCAGGCATTTTTCTGTGGCCGCAGTGATTACTTCAAAGCCCTTCTTGAGGATCATTTCAGTGAGAGCGAGGAGCTGCAGACTCAGCCCACCATCCCTGTGGTGACCCTTCATAACATCTCAGAAGACATCTTCATCAGGGTCCTCTACTACATCTACAGCGATGACACTGAGGTGAGACCAGCCTACTCTCTCCTTTCATCGCCTTCAAGTTATGCCCAGATGTCTTTGCAGAAGTGTCATCCTCTAGTATCCTACTGCTGGTTTGTTAAATACCACTCGCCCAGTCTCCTTCCTGGCTTGAAGAACCTCAGTAACCCAAATACTGGTATCTCGGTTTTATCCATGTTGTAGGCTAGGCTGGGACTTTGTTTCCTGAATACATCAGTGCAACTGCTCCTTAATGCCATATGTGTATCTTTCATCCTAAATTAATATCCTGTAAATTAGGATGCATGTTACTTAGGCCAGATACATAATGCATGATTTGTCTGGCTGTGTATTCTTCCCCACTGAATGCTACTGTGTAGCACTGACTGCTCTCAGAGGCACACAGTCAGAATTCTGCCACTAGATGGCAGCTGAAAACAGATCTGCAGGTGTGCTTAGGTTAAGAGGCCTGTTCGTTTACTGTTGGCATTACAGCCTATCTTTGCATTTAAAACAAAAATTACTTGCATCGCTGGAATGTCTAGATGTCCCACTCAGAGATCAGGGACCCATTGTGCTAAGCACATAACAAAAAGACATCCCCTGCCTCAAAGAACTAACAGTCTAATTAAAAGTGCAGCCAGCACTATACATCTTTTGGCAGCACTGAAGGGGTTAATGATGCTGATGAGCTGGTTTGTGTCCTCACCAAAGCTTAAGGCTTTCCTGTATGAGTGAGACTGTACCATTCCTACTCTCGCATTCCTACTGTGGGTTAGCCTTTGGTTTGCTGTGACCACCTGCACATCTGTGACCTTATTCCTGCTGACCAGCTTGGCTACAGGCAGCAACATAGAATCTGTGATAGGCAGAGAGATGATTTATCAGACAGGAAGTCACTGGCTAGCTTGCTGAGGCTGTCATTAGTACCCTGTAGAACTTCCTCACATTAACTTATTCTGCTCACAACCTCCTATTGTCTATGCTCTGGAGGACAGGTGGAGTGGGAGGTGAGGAGCCCTAAGGCATATCAGAATCTTATCACAGCCCTGCAGCCAGACCCAGTTCCCGCTGCCCCTCTTTGAACCTGCAGAATCTCGCTAACTCTCTGTTGTTGCTAAGTAGAAGTGTTTCCAAACCAGAGTTCTGGCTGCAGCCTTCCCTTTCGAGTGGCTCTTCGGATGCTATCTGTTTGTGCACTGCACATGCCTGATGGCCCACCTCACTTAAAAACAATTTACTGTCATTCCAAAATTATTAGTCATATTTTCCAGTGGCTATCTGAGTCCCAAGCCAAATGAGCTTTTGTGGAAAGAGGCCATCTGTTTGAAAAATTATATTAATGTTTTCTTGATTTTTCCTGGCAGATTTTCAAAGTTCAATAGTTTGTACAGTGTTTTTTTTCTTCTCAGGCTTAAGTCCAGTCTAGTGCCGACATAACCAGAGTCCCCATCCTGCATGACCTCACCTTTTTCAAAGGATTGACATTTCTGTCACTGTTGTGTCCTTCACAGCAGTCCTTATTATCAGTGAAAGGGGAGTGTGTGTGCGTGTGGTTTCTGAGTGGAAAAAATAAGCAGCTGAGTGGAACTTGTGTGTGTGTGTGTATATAAGGAAGTTTGAAAAGGAACATCAAACTGATTGTTTTCTTATTGAACAGTGATCAGTCGAGCGTTTGGTGTTTTCAATTCAAATGCTCATGACCTTATAGGTTCCCAAAGCGTCTTATTAGATGCTACAGTAGAGAGATTTGCAGTTACTGTGGGGGTGAAACTCAATCAGTGTGTGGTCAAATTCTCCTAAGGAAGGGGTAGGTGATATGCAAGCCTCCTGTGCAAAAGTCCTTGAGAAAGGTATAAACATGGCTTCGGACTACGTAAAGTGAGAGGGAGCACAGATCTGGGAAACCTGCGTCTATAACAACACTTGATGAATAACCCCGACAACCTTGCTGTTGCTGCTTTGAATTGCATAGCTTTGTTACAGCACTTTAACAACTGTTGCGAGCCTCTGACATGCCTCCTAATACACCTTGCATTCTTATGTACAGTTGTGCACTGTGGCAAACAAGGATTCACCTTTCCAGTCCCATTCCAATTCACCCTTGCTCTGAATGATCTTGTTTACTCTAGTACTAGTGTAGACAGCCATGCAAGCACTGCAGCTGCAATGGTGCAAGTAATCCTTCTAGTGCAACCCCACTTTGAAATGATCATCTGTATCTGTGTGTGGATGTGGGCAGCACTGCACCTGGCCCAGAATGGCTAGTGTGGAGGCACTGCACCATTGCAGCTTGTACCTGTGCAACTTGCAACTGTGAAGTTTTTTAGCATAAACATACAAGATTTCATTCTCCTCAGAATCCTACATGACCTGGTCTCTTCTAGAGCATGTGCATGCCATGTCCCACAAATCCAGATGGGTAACAGTGCTCTTCACAGTTCCTTTCATATTAGCAATAGTAAAACTGCACAGAAGAGAACTCTAGTTCCAGATTAGTGACGTAGATGATTGATTAAAATAAACGTCAAGGATTTGACCAGCCAGGAAAAAAAGAGAGAGAAAAGTCTGAACAAGGTTTAGGACTGACTTTTTTGTTTAAAAAGACATCAGACCTTGCTATTTAACCATCTGTTGCCATATTACAGAGTAAGCATCATTATAACACTTACTTCATTTCTAGAGATTTCATTAAACTGAGTGAAAACTCTGTGTACGCATATTTGACACAGTCTGGGCATGACAATCAAGTGTTAACATTTAAAAAAAAAATTAGACTAATATGCTGGGTTTATTTTTGCAGGTGAATGTATTTTGTATGAGTATTGAATAAAAAGTAACCCAATATCTTGCTTGACGTGCCTAGTCTGTTAAATGTGTATAATAGCTTTTGTTTAAAAAGACAAGTATTGTAAAGATTGTTCTGTTTCCCATATTTACATGGCAAGGGTTTGTAAACTTGTTAAAACTTCCTAAATACATTAAATAAAAAAATTGTTTTTGTCAATCTAGTATGTCGCTTAGGGGTGTGAGAAATAGTTAAGCCGATGTAAGCCCTGGCGTAGCTATTGCTAGGTCAACAGAAGAATTCTTATGGGTGTGATTAACCACAGTGGCAGAAAAACCCCTTCTGTTACAATAGCAAGTGTCTACACTACAGCACTGCAGTGCCGTGGCTGTGCCGCTGTAGTGTCTGTAGTGTAGACATCGCCTCAGTCTCTCGAATGGTGGCATAGAGCTCTCTCCTCAGGGTTCGCACTCCTGCACTGGTGTTTTTCCCCTAACTGCAAGAAATTATGTCTGAAATAGATTGCCCTGAGATTTCATCTCTCACAGAGGAACATGGTGTAGGCAGGACTTTCTTTATGGTGACTCTCTTCTTTGCATTACCAGCTGTCCCCAGAGAATGCTTATGACGTGCTGTGTGTAGCAGACATGTACCTGTTGCCGGGGCTCAAACGCTTGTGCGGGAGAACCTTGGCTCAGATACTTGATGAGGACAATGTTGTCAACATCTGGAGGATTGCAAAGCTGTTCCAGCTGACGCGACTGGAGGACCAGTGCACGGAGTACATGGCAAAGATCATTGAGAAGGTATGCGAAACCCTTCCCTAAGATGTTTCAGGTGTGACTACTAAATGTGCATCTAAGTGTTGCCATGGTTTAGTGTATGCACTTTTCATTTCTGAAGATGTTGGGTCATAAGTGAAGTGAATTTTGTAGTCCCACCTTGGTCCTCAATAGGACCTGCCTCACAGTTTGACATGACTGGTGAAGAAGGCTGCAGTTATGGAATAGCATTGAGTGCCGCAGATCATGACTGATGTGCATTGGGGTGCTGTGTGCAGGGGTAGGTGGGAGTGTTCATCTCCATACATGGCTCTTTCTGGTGCAATTAGTGCTTTTGTACTGTAGCCTCAAATTCATTATAACCCCCAAAAAGCAGATTATCGGGGCTTCCATAGGGAAAAATTATTACTGATGATTAGCTAAATAACGAATCTTATTACACTGGAATCCTATTTACAAGGATCAATTTGAACATTCCTTCCCGCTGCTGTTTTGGCCATTCTCTCTTATGGCTGCTTGCAGATCCAGGAGTCAGTGATGTCTGCAGAGAAACAGTGACCATATGGCACAGACAGTCTCAGTTCTTCTACTAAGTATTTTGGTTCCTAGCGGGGTCAGTAGTTTTATATAAATGGCTCTAATTAATGCTCCCACATGAGCTGTAACATTCTTTACCTGCAGCTGAGAGGCTCTGAGAAAGGTGTGAAACTCTTTCCTGTCTCTGAAAACAGTGCAGAAAATCATTTCCAAACAGTTCTTCTCATTCAAAAGTGCCATTGATCAATATAAATGAGGGAACCAACACATCAGCCTATGACCAGAACTGGGTTCTGGAAAGGGGATTTTTATCTAACAGCTGAATGAAGTGTACAAGCAGTGATCGGGAACATTTAATTCTTGCCACTGGGACTTTGCTTAGACTAACAATTTTAGGGCATTCCCCCATCGTTTTACTAATGCTAAGAACAGTGGGAGTGCTGGTGCAGGGAGGGCTCCAGGGGACCACGAACTGTGTCATCTAGTGGAGCACAGAGCAAGTTGAGATGACCCATTAGTTAGATGCCAGCAGATGTCCGCCCCTTGTCTACAGTAGCACTTTCTCTAGGAGAGCTGAATTGGTATGGGCAATGATGGGAAGTTCTTGGCAAAACAGTGTAGTGTAGACCAGGCCTAAAGTTCCATTGCAAGATTGACATCTCTTGTCTGTCTCTGCCATGACAGGAGCTGTTGGCTTTCCCTGTGGAGGTTTGTTTCCTGGTTTTTTTTGTTTTTTGTTTTTTTTTCTTCTCTCTCTCTCTGTCTCTATTGTGAGTTCATGTAAATGGTGCCCAAACACTGCAATGATGGACGTTTGGTCAGTGTGTGTTTACAACAATATACTGAGGGGGTTGCAGCCTAGTGACAGGTTTTGTCTGCTCTTTAAACATTTGAGTCTTTTTCCTGCTGGTTAAAGGTGCAGGATTGACAGCCCTGAAGACTGAATCCTTGTGTTTATCCATAGAGCAGATACAGTCTTGTAAATGGCAGGACAAGCTTTTCCTGTGAGCTGCCCCTTGCTGGTGTGTCTCACACTGAACCTGGAAGGACTCCTGTAGAGTGTGAAAGGAGAATTCAGTCTCCAGGGGCTATTCAGTCCTTGGCACTCTGTATCCTCCTTGTTGGAAGTCTCATCAGAAGGGCCAACTACGGGGATGACCTTGTTTTCGTCATTTTCTCAGTGGTAACTAAGCTGAGACCCTCCAATTCATTTCACAAACCCAGGTTCCTGAACTCTCCAGACTTTCACTCATTACCGGCCTGAGCTTGATTTGAACTGGCGACTTAATGGTGAAAGCTGAACATCACGTTGTCACTTCCCATCAGCCTTGCAGCTTCCCTAATTGATGTCTTGTCTTCATCCTTCCAGCTGGTGGAGCTGGAGGAGTTTGCGGCTGCGGTGAAGGAGAATGCTGAGGCGGTGGAGGAACGGCAGGAGACCGATTCCATCCCCCTGGTGGATGACATCCGCTTCCACATCACCAGCAATGTGCAGACTTACAGTGCCATCGAGGAGGCCAACCAGAAACTAGAGGCACTGGAAAACCTCCTGGCCAGTATAGGGCTCGAGTGCTGAAGTCTGTAAATCCTGCTGTTGGATGCAGAGAGCAGCCGGTGTGACCTCCAGTGGGTTGCCTCTGAGTGCAAGAACATATGAGTCTTAGTCAAATGACTTTTTTTTTCTTTTTTTCTCTCCTCCTACCCACCACCTTCCCCCCCTCCCCCCCCCCCGGCATGGTTTCCTTTTAATTCATTCATGGCTGGACACTCACGTTTTTGTTTTTTTCCTTCCGTTAATAGGATCCCAAAGTGCAGACCAGTTTGATAGTTACTGCTTGTACAATATAGCACTGAGAGGGAACTGCCAACCACATGACTAATGGAGCTCTATTAATGGACTCCATGACATCTGGCCCCAGGAGCTGCCCCACCCTCTTAGCCAGCAATGCATTTCTGAAATTGGTTCAAACCAGGGTTCTTGTGTAGTGATCAAGGGAACAAAAATGGATTATGCTGAGTGTTAAGGAATCTGTTAGAATTAAACTGGCTGGTCTTTTGCTGTCAGGATTATGGGGAGTTAGCGGAGAGGATGGCATGTTAATGGTGCACAGGAATTTAGCCTTAGAGAGGCGCTATCTGACTTCACCTGCTCTTCCTGTTTCTCAGTCACAAACTACTGGGATCCTTCAAGCATTGGCACTTGGATTTACACCCTCCGTGTAGTATGGAAGTTTAGGTTTTAAATCCATATTCTGACAGATTGTGACAGTGTATCCTTGATCAGGGGGACATGGCTAAATTGAATGATTTCTTTTCTGGATACTTTGTTTAATGCATGTCCCAAATATAAACCTGTAGAAATACATTCGAGAGCAGCAGGAGAGAGACCCAGTCTGCTAAAGAGCCAGTGACTTTTCAAAGGCACTGATGCAGAGGTACTGCCCTTGTCTCGCTCGAACAGGGGAGCAGCTCCTGTCCTCTGAGTTGCCACATATTCTTTTTTTGGCCTGTTGTGTAAGGATGAAGGAGAGACTTATCAAAGTTTAAGGGTGGGTTACAAAGAAAAGGGAGCTTTACAAGGCCTGTCGCAGTTCATCTGTCCTAATCTTTCGTCTTCTGACTTTACTCCGGCTTAAAAACCTTGAGTTCCTTGTTCTTCAAGAAGCTAATTGTTCATCCTTGCAAATGTGTTTGGGGATTCTTCCTCTGCCATAGATATCATTATCTTTAGAAATCTGGTCTCCCTTGGCTTTTAGAGAGGGATGGTGCTGGTCTTTCCCTCTTTTCTCAACATCAGTCAGCAGTTGCACTAAGTACATCTCATCATATGGACTAGTTCTCCGAGCCCTGTTTCCATGCCGTTACAGCCCTTCCCTGTTACAACCCATCCTGTCTCACTAGATGTCCCTCTTTAGTGTTGCCCTGTTTCTAGATACCCTCGGAGGTGGAAGTGTAGCAAGAGTTTTACTTGTCGCTCTGTTTTGTGTGACAGCATGGCTGGAAGTTGCAATTTTACAGGATGTTAGGGTCATGAAATGACTTCAGGTTGGATTCAGTGGTCCTGTGTGCTGATACTGGGTGATACTCCAAAGAGACATTATTGCCAGAGTACAGGCAATTACATCCTCTCTTTGTTAACTTGTGAGTGAGGTCAGGCTATTTTCTTGGTGTTGGCTAGAGAGAGGAAGGGGATCTACGGTCACAAAATCTTGCGTGCACCCAGATTTTGTTCTTCATAAATCTCCTGTCTCTTGTCACAAGGATACACTATGGATGCTAGACTTTCTAGAGTTGTCATCAGAGTCCCAAGGATTCACTGTCAGGTTTTCCCAGAGAGCAAAGCATGGAGACTTAACTGCTCTTACCCTTTAGACAGTCATAGGAAGCACGTGGCTTAATGGTGGGAGACAGAGGAAGTATCATAATGTTGGAAATTTAATGCTGCCAAGGACTTTGAGTGGATTCTTTCTGCCTGGGAGGGAGAAAATTGGGCTGTATTAGTTGCATGAGGAATCCTATCAAAATGTTGGTGCTGCTGTCACTGGTGGATGTTGCTGTTTACAGTAACTGCATGATGTAGGGGTTTCAAACCACACCCTAGTGACTTGTGCTATTGTGTGTTGCCCCTGTGCATTGTTCATGCAGATAGGTGATCTGGGTCCCCAACAGCTCCTCTGACCATGCTTTTGGTAGCGTTTTTTCAACATAACCAAGGGAAGGGATTTAAGTTCCCCTGTATGGCAAGGACTGTGTTATGTGGGCTTTATGTTGTCCTTTCCCATCTGCTAGCCTGGCTTCCGAAGTGGCTTGGACAGCTAATGAAATTGCATATGATTGTCTTGGTTTAGTTATGATTATGAAGTTCCTACATAGTTTGGCTAAGGCTCCAAAAGGCTCAGTGTGGGTAGAGTAGTGGGTATTGCCGGCGGGGTTGAGCTGTATCAGCAGAGTTGTGCGTGGAAGCCCAAGAATAGACTAGCAGGTCAGGACTGAGATGCGTTGTCAGAGCCAAGAGTTTTCAGCTATGTACTGGCTCTCCCAGCCTCCAGAGGATTCTTCTTATCCATATTTATGTGGCGTCTCCTGCAGACGAGGCATCTTTGGGGAAGAGAGTGTCTCTGGAGGGTGTTGAGCTATTCGAGCAGGATCTGCCTCTATTTCTGTTAGAAATTCCTTTGGGGAAACAGGTGAGTTTTCTGGCTTGCTTTTTGCAGGCAGGTGCCAGCATCTTGGTTCCATAGTGTGCATGCCTGGTCCTGTATCAGAATAATGACATGGAAAGAGGAACTGTATGTTCTGCTCCTTAAATGTGTGTATTTTAGAACACCCTAGGTCTGTGTACTTCCGTATCCATCTACAGAGCACAGATTAGCATTGGCTGAAGGACAGAACGACAGGACAATGAAGTTCTGAGAGCCAAAAGTAACCTGCAGCTGGTGAAGCGTGTCTCAATTTAAGATGTGGGGGGAAGGGCTGGTTAGACTAATGCTAAATCCCTTGTATTTTGTGTCAGGGGAAGGAGTGTGTGTTGTCTCACCCTCTGAGATGTAAGCTCTTTAAAGCCCGCAAAACCTGTTATTCAGAAACAACCTTCTAGCTAAACTGGTACGATTCACCTGTCTTTCTCTTCCCTTTATTACTAAATATGACTTTGTATATAAGCATGAGGCTCAGGTTTTTATCACCTCTTCTCTGCTCCTGCTGTATACATTTCTCAATCACTCTGCTTGCAACACAACCTTCCTTTTCACAGCAACTGTTGTGACATCCCCCCCCTTCCACCCAGAAGACTACGGGCCACCAATTTAGATGGATTTACACCAGCAGTGAATTTGGCTTTTGCCCTCAGAGCATGGTGTGTGTTGGAAGTAAGATTCAGGAGCAGGACTGTTGAAAAAACACTATCCTTTTTCCATTCAGGTATCTTAACTTTTAAAGTAAAAAGGAGAGTGGTACAAAAATGGGTGAAATGGCAGCCACACAGTTTGTAAGTATTTTCCATGCAGCTGTTCTTAAATGTGTCCATTCCTGTCCCTTTAAGCAGGGAACCACTTAGAAGTTGTAATTTGTGGGATTAAAGGTCAATGTGGCCTTTTTATTTTCCTCCCTGGTAATGCAGTTTTGTTAAATGTGCTGGATGAATTCGGTACACCTTGTCTGTCCAGCTGTACATAGTGGCTACATCTCTGAACTAAACTGGATTGTCCAATTACTGAGTATCTAGGGCTCCTTCATCTCTCTGAAAAACAGATAAGCAGGTGGTTAAGATACAGAACAAGCTCCTTAATTGTAAAATAAATAAACTAGTTTGTAACATGTGTTGAACTCACTTTAGTGTTGCAAATAATTTTATTGCAAGATGAAAAATTAGGATTTCTCTTCTGTTAGTCTTTTTTTGTGTTCTGTTCTGCTATCCCCATCCTCTTAATTTACGATTAGCACTTTCTTGAAATAAGAAAATTGTAAAGTTTATCAGAGCAGCAATATATTATAATAAAAATATTTAAAAATGTAATGTGTGAGCATGTGTGCAGCAATAAAAAAAAAAAGTATATTTCACTATGCCTGTCTCTGCTGCGGCCTGTTTGTTAATGACCCTAATGATGTCTGCGTGACTTTATTTCTGAAAAGACCCAGGTGGTACATTTAGCCTGCACTCCACATCCCCACCCACCCACCCACCAAATAACTATTTTTTTTCTGCTCTTAAGCAGTGGGGGAAAACATGTGTTTCCACCCCCCCCTCCCAGTGGGCCAGTCATATAATCCCTGATACAACACAACAGCAAAGAATTGAGAATGTTTTTATTTTTTCTCCACATATGGGCTTTCTTCTTCTCACCCCTGGAATGTCTTGCCTTGCCTTCTTATTACTATTGCCCTGCCTGGGCCAAATTCATCCCTAGTGTAACTCCATTGAATTATGCGAGAGATTATTTTGACACCAGTGTACTTTGGGGGTTCTCCCTGAGGCACAAGTAATTTCATGGAAGAAACCTCAAGATCACAGAAGTATCCCAGCTGCATCCACCTCCATCTCTGAGAAGAGAGCAGACTTTTGTCTCCCCTTCAAACCCCGTATGCAGCCAGATTGCTAGAATGTTGTTTCCGTAGCAAACGGTAGTGACCTGACTGGTAAAGGTGCTGAACACCTACAGCTCCCATTGACTTCAGTGAGAGTTGTTTCAGGGTAACAGCCGTGTTAGTCTGTATTTGCAAAAAGAAAAGGAGTACTTGTGGCACCTTAAAGACTAACCAATTTATTTGAGCATGAGCTTTCGTGAGCTACAGCTCACGAGTTGTGTGTACCCAGCATCTCTGGAAGTAAAAACCCAAGCGCATGCTAGGTAGCTCTATGTAAGAACATACAGTATTCTTGGGGGAAGCCCAGAAACCTTTGAATGACTTGAAACTGACTGAAGGGACCTATTTTTGAAAAGTTCAGACAGTGATCAGTCTTCAGTTTGTGATTTGTACCAGCAGGACAACAGTGTTTAAAGAAGGCTATTCATGGTGAAAGTGGAACTTGCTGAGACCCTAGAGTAAAAGCCATGGATTGGATTATCTTTTACCCGCTCAAGTAGTTTGTGTTGGTGCATTTATGGTCAGTTTCTAAAAATGGCACCTTCTCAGTTAACAGACCTCATTCACTGTGTGTTGACAGATTCCTCTGCTCTGTCTATTGACTGAAATGAAGTTTTCTCTATATCTTGCTCCTGTTTGCACTGCAAAATCCACACATTTCTGGGAGCGGGATTCAATTTTGAGTTAAATGTAGTTAACAGTTCAGCGGATGATGTACATGCTCTAGTTGCAGAGTCTTTGCCAGTGATGAAGTTAAAGGCAGAGGGAGCTCTGACTCCCAGATTCCAGAGGGAGTTTCGGGGGCTGGTAGTTAGAGCAGTTCTTGGAAACAAAACAAATCTGACATGGAGTTAAGAGACAGAGCCTGCAGTGGAACCCACTTATCAAAGTAGAACCACAGTTTAAACAAGGACTCTACACTTTTCCAAACTGTTTGTTTGTCTTGGAAGAAAAGCAAGAGTCAAATAGAGACTGAACTCCCCTCCGGTCAAAAGAAGTGGCCCCTCAGGGTTGGGGTTGTGGAATGCTGTTGGAAGTGTGTGCGTGTGTGAGAGAGAAAGATCTTGGCTATACCTACCTGGCCATACTCTACTTCTTTGGCAGATAAAAGGGACTTTGGTTTCCAGGGCTGTCAATCCAGTACCTTTCATGAGCATTAAATGCACACGAAAAATTAAGCTTAGAAATCAAAAAGGTGCCTAGAGAGATGACAGCAGTTAAGAATGGTCAACATTTTTTGGGGGAAAAAAGCCCTGCAGTATTGCACGTGCTTTTTTTGATGAGGCACTTCTCCCATAACACCCTGAGGTTAGTAAGACTTGAAGGGAGCGTGACAGCAAGCAATTGCTGGAGAATAAAGAAGGGGGCTAATGAGCTAGCCATGTTCCCAAGGATCTGTTTGCCAGGTTCCTGAGATAAGCTCTGAGAGGAGGGAGTGTAAGAGACAGCTCCCCTTTTCCCGCAGTGTTAGCTGACGAGGCTCCAGGACTGGAAAAGATCAAGAGGCAAGTCCAGGGAAAGCTCCAGGCTCTTTCCACATTGATCTCAAGGCATGGTTCAAAACAGGGGTTCTTCACTGGAAAGAGAGAGGAGAAAAGCCAAGTGAGGCTGTCTGAATCACTCCTATAAGAGAGTGGGGGAAGGGAGGCCTGGCCATTGTACTCCTCTTGCTAGGCATGCTGGGAAAGGGGAGGAGTCTTGGGCCTTTATAATTCAGGCTCCTCGCCTTCTCAGCTAGTGCTTGGAAGAAGTGCATCCAGGAAGAGTGCTGTCTGCTGGGCTGAGAAGACCCTGGTAGGTAAGACTTCTAGAAAATATTTGAATGAGCTTTTATTTGGACTGAATGTATTCTTATATTGAAGAAACTTGGGATTTGTATCATTGTGTATTTAGGGGAGCTGGTCTGTGTGTTAGGGTGTAATAATTGCCCTGTTGAAGGATGGGATGAAGAGGTTCTCTTATCCCATCGTTTTGGGTGGACAGGAGCATCCTGATGCCATTATGGTTAGTGACATGGAGTTGCCTGACAAGTGACACTGATCCACTGAGAGAGAGAGAATCTGTACATAGAAATCTGCACTTCAGGCAAATAAAGTAATACTGTAGAATGAAATCCTCTGCTCAGACAGAGAATGGTAGGATCATCTTAGCCCTTACTGGAAAGATCAGCTTTGATCTCCCATAATAAACATCTAAAGAAGTGAGCATTCTAATATAATCCAGGCACAGAACAGCACAAGAACCAATATTGCTATTAATTTAATTTAAAATACTTCCATAACAGTGGAGCTAGCATTCTGCTGCTCTAGAGTTGCTGCGCCCATACCAGGAAGAACTTTACCAAGTAGTTTTAAGACCTAACTTATCAATGGCCTTATTTCCTTTCCCCTCTCCCCAAAAACACTGTTGCTGAGACACTGAGAACACAATACAAAATGGACGGGAGAGTATTTCAGAGGGGCTCTTGCTCTTCAGATCCTGATTACTTGTGGTCACTGAAGATTTTTAGAATGTTGTTTTTTTTTTTTTTTTTTTTTGCAAGAGATGAGTGTGTTGAGCCTGGTGTCCTGGACAAGTTTTAGCTTGGGTAACTCTTGTGTGTCCCTGAATTCCCCACAGAGGGTCAAGTAGGCACAGCATTCCTCACTCCCTGACCTAACTTGCTTTGTAGCAATGGTGTATGCTGCTAACTAAACAGCTGTCATGTTCTACTTCAGAAGGAACAGAATTAGAAAATGATTTCTTCCCTACTCTGCTGCAAAGTGGTGGTCGTGCTCTCAGTAAGAATCTTGAACTGAGAACTTGGTGGGTAAGGCCTTGTCCCCACTGGGGGGGGGAATTGGAAAAAAGTTCCCATTGATGCAGCACCCCCCTACAGATGAGTTCTCTGCATAGGAGTTGGAACTAGGGGTGTGGCGGGATTCGGAGGGGGCATTGCCGCACCCCCTGTCTTGAAGTGGTTTCCATTATATACAGGATTTACAGTTTGGTTCAATGGCTCTCAGCCTCCCCACTATAAAAATTGTTCCAGCACCCCTGAAGTTGTGAGAGCACTGGTCCAGACTAAGTTCCTGCAGCCAGTGACATTAACACCATGTCGCATACACCTGCTTTGAGCAGGGTTAGAAGACACAGTGGTAAAAACCATCAGTGAGTGGTGGAGGTTCGCTCCATTAGGGATCCCAATGTTGTTAATGCAGGCGCAGCTCCACTAGTGTTAGCAGTGGTGAGAAGCTTCCTGCCAGAAAACCAACCCTGTAATCCAAAGTGAAGGAAGTAGTAACTTCAAATGATAATGTATTTGTAATGTGAGCTTGCATATGGCACATAATCTATTCCTAAGTGGAAGTCTTACTCAGAGTGCTGCTTTGCTTTTAGAAAAGCTGTGCAGGTCTCACCATTTTCCAGAGGAAAAGCTAGTTTTTAAATTAAGAACAATAATTGTGGAAAGAAATTTAGAGCAAAATCTTGCTGTCTTCAGTAAACCTAAAGTTCCATTGACTTGATTGGTAACTTTGACTCAGGATACCAGGATTTGGTCCATCGCCTTTGAGTAGCTGAGTCTTGTTTTATTCTCTCTTATTCAGGGAAACTTTCTTAAAACTTGAAAATAGTTAAGGAATAGTATTAGCCATTGTCCTGACAGTTCTCTCTTATTGTAGCATTAGCTGCCTCACTAAATCCTCTCCCCGGTCCCTCCATACTTTCTTCTCTGTAGACATTTTCTTGGGAGTTGGAATAAATGCTTCCTCAGCTAGACTATTCACCTCCTTCTGGGCTAAACAGATTTCTTTGCCAAGTTTCCTGTAATTAGACATTCGTGCATATCAGGAGATTCATACAAACTCTTAATTGATCTCTTAGGAATTTTTTCATCTGGATTTCTGGAAATAGTCCAGGCGTTGAAGAGCATCCACAGCCTGACTTAGTCCCATGGAGAGAGAAAGCTAATCCAATGCCTAAATTAAACTCTACCTCCCAAGGAGTCATGAAGGGCATGGAGCTGATCTCTAATAATTTATAGACACTGTATGTGACCTGGCTATTGGGAGAGTTACCGTCTGGCTGTATTGGATTACTGGAATGCTTACTGCAGGCGTATGTTGGTTTCATTTAATAGTAGTGTTGTTAAGAAACAAGCAGGAAGGCACCACAATAGCTCCAGATAAACAACCTCACACTAAACAGAGGAGGGGTCATTAAAAGATAATGCCTCTAGGCAAAGTTACAAGATTTGTGTTGCCAAGGCTGGAAGTAAGAAGATCAAAAGGATACTAAACTGTTAAAGTCACTCACTGGAGAGAGGGTGAGGCGATTGTTGGAGAGCTGTTTGTGGAGAACAGACTGAGATAGTCAGACTCTGCTGGTGGGTCTGAAGCAGCAAAGCCTGCCTGGCCAGATACCACAGGGTGATGGGGCTTTAGGTTTGTGTAACTTGTTTATGTAGCCTGTTAAAATCTTTTTTTTCTCTTACG